CCCACAGCCACACACATACATACCCACAGCCACACACATACATACCCACAGCCACACACATACATACCCACAGCCACACACATACATACCCACAGCCACACACATACATACCACAGCCACACACATACATACCCACAGCCACACACATACATACCCACAGCCACACACATACATACCCACAGCCACACACATATAGATACCCACAGCCACACACATGCATACCCACAGCCACAAACACACATACCCACAGCCACACACACATACCCTCAGCCACACACACATACCCACAGCCACACACACACACCCACAGCCACACAACACATACCCACAGCCACACACACACATACCACAGCCACGCGCACATACCCAGCCACACATATACACATACCCACAGCCACACATATACACAAACCCACAGCCACACATATACACATACCCACAGCCACACATATACACATACCCACAGCCACACATATACACATACCCACAGCCACACATACACATACCCAGCCACACATATACACATACCCACAGCCACACATATACACATACCCACAGCCACACATATACACATACCCACAGCCACACATATACACATGCCCACAGCCACACATATACACATGCCCACAGCCACACATATACACATACCCACAGCCACACATATACACATGCCCACAGCCACACATACACATACCCACAGCCACACATATACACATACCCACAGCCACACATATACACATACCCACAGCCACACATATACACATACCCACAGCCACACATATACATATACCCACAGTCACACATATACACATACCCACAGCCACACATATACACATACCCACAGCCACACACATACACATACCCACAGCCACACACATATACACATACCCACAGCCACACATATACACATACCCACAGCCACACACATACACATACCCACAGCCACACACATATACACATACCCACAGCCACACATATACACATACCCACAGCCACACATATACACATACCCACAGCCACACATATACACATACCCACAGCCACACATATACACATACCCACAGCCACACATATACACATACCCACAGCCACACATATACACATACCCACAGCCACATATACACATGCCCACAGCCACACATATACACATGCCCACAGCCACACACACACATGCCCACAGCCACACACACACATGCCCACAGCCACACACACACATGCCCACAGCCACACACACACATGCCACAGCCACACATATACACATACCCGCAGCCACACATATACACATACACACAGCCACACATATACATATACACACATATACACATACCCACAGCCACACATATACACATACCCACAGCCACACATATACACATACCCACAGCCACACATATACACATACCCACAGCCACACATATACACATACCCACAGCCACACATATACACATGCCCACAGCCACACATGTACACATACCCACAGCCACACATATACACATACCCACAGCCACACATACACATACCCACAGCCACACATACACATACCCACAGCCACACATATACACATACCCACAGCCACACATATACACATACCCACAGCCTCACATATACACATACACAGCCACACATATACACATACCACAGCCACACATATACACATACCCACAGCCACACATATACACATACCCAAGCCACACATATACACATACCCACAGCCACACATATATACATACCCACAGCCCACACATATACACATACCCACAGCCACACATACACATACCCACAGCCACACATATACACATACCCACAGCCACACACATACACATACCACAGCCACACACATACACATACCCACAGCCACACACATACACATACCCACAGCCACACACATACACATACCCACAGCCACACATATACACATACCCACAGCCACACAATATACACATACCCACAGCCACACATATACACATACCCACAGCCACACATATACACATACCCACAGCCACACATATACACATACCCACAGCCACACATATACACATACCCACAGCCACACATATACACATACCCACAGCTACACATACACATACCCACAGCCACACATACACATAACCACAGCCACACATATACACATACCCATAGCCACACATACATATACCCCACAGCCACACATATACACATACCCACAGCCACACATATACACATACCCACAGCCACACATATACACATATCCACAGCCACACATATACACATACCCACAGCCACACATATACACATACCCAGCCACACATATACACATACCCAGCCACACATATACACATACCCACAGCCACACATATACACATACCCACAGCCACACACGTGACCACAGTCACACATGCATATCCACAGTCTCTCACACACAAAACCACATACACTCACACACAACCACACACACAAATACAGCCACACACACACAAAGACAACCACACAAACACACACAACCACACACATACACAATCACACAAAACACACAAACCGCAAGCACACAAACACACACAACCACACACACGCAAACACAGCCACACACAGCCACACACAACCACACACACACAAAACAGCCACACAAACACAGCCACACACAACCACACATACGCAAACACAGCCACACAAACACACACAACCACACACATACATACAATTACGCACATACACACAACCACACACACAACCACACACACACACACACACAACCACACACATACACACAACCACACACATACACACAACCACACACATACACACAACCACACACATACACACAACCACACACACCACACAACCACACACACACACACAACCACACACACACACACACAACCACACACACACACAACCAACACACACACACAACCACACACACACACACCCACACACACACACACAACCACACACACACAAACAACGCATACCACCACAACCAACACACAACAACACACAACCACACACACATACACAACACACACAACCACACACACACACAACACCACACAGCACAACACTCACATAACCCACAACTCAGTCACGCACCATAACCACACATACACCACCTACCCATACCCACAACGAAACACACAGCCACACATAAATACCCACAGCCACGCACATATACCCACAGCCACACACATATACCCACAGCCACAACAACATATACCCACAGCCACACACGTATACCCACAGCCACACACATATACCCACAGCCACACACATATACCCACAGCCACACACATATACCCACAGCCACACACATATACCCACAGCCACACATATACCCACAGCCACACACATATACCCACAGCCACACATATACACACAACCACACACATACACACAACCACGCACACACATACCCACAGCTACACTCACATACCCACAACTGCAGTCACGCACACAACCACACATACCCACCTACCCATACCCACAACGAAACACACAGCCACACATAAATACCCACAGCCACGCACATATACCCACACCACACACATATACCCACAGCCACACACGTATACCCACAGCCACACACATATACCCACAGCCACACACATATACCCACAGCCACACACATATACCCACAGCCACACACATACCCACAGCCACACACACATACCCACGGCCACACACATACCCACGGCCACACACATACCCACGGCCACACACATACCCACGGCCACACACATACCCACGGCCACACACATACCCACGGCCACACACATACCCACAGCCACAGACATACCCACAACCACACACATACCCATGGCCACACACAAACCCACAGCCACACGCATACCCACAGCCACAGACATACCCACAGCCACAAGCCACAGACATACCACAGCCACAAGCCACAGACATACCCACAGCCACAAGCCACAGACATACCCACAGCCACAAACCACAGACATACCCACAGCCACAGACATACCCACAGCCCCACACATACCCACAGCCCCACACATTCCCACAGCCACACACGCATACCCACAGCCACACATACATGCCCACAGCACACATGCATATCCACAGTCCCTCACACACACACAACCACACACACACAAACACAGCCACACACACACAAACACAGCCACACAAACACACACAGCCACACAAACACACAACCACACAACACACAACCACACAAACACACACAACACACAAACACACACAACCACACACAACCACACACACAAACACGCCACACAGCCACAACATACACACAACCACACACATTTACACAATCACACACATACACACAACCACACATATACACACAACCACACATATACACACAACCACACATATACACACAACCACACACACACACACAACCACACACACACACACAACCACACACACACACACAACACACACACACACAACCACACACACACACACACAACCACACACACGCACAACCACACACACACGCACAACCAACACACACGCACAACCACACACACACGCACAACACACACAAACACACACACACACACACACACACACACACACACACACACACACACACACACACACACACACACACACACACATATTTTATTTACATGTACGGGTTTTCAAAGATTTGGAATATATAGTCTGATATATTGATTATTATTTAGCTTTGCAGATTATCCTGTTCATGGTAAAATATTCCAGGAAACACTCAAGCAGAATTGAAATATTTTCATATTTTTTCTGCTTTGTTTAATGTTACATAATGATAGCCTAGAATGCTGTAAATAATATACAGTGTCTGATTTTGGATAGACAAAAAATCAAATAAACTTTGTAAAAAAGAAAAAAAAATTATATAATATATATATATATATATATATATATATATATATATAATATATATATATATATATATTATATATATAATATATATATATATATATATATATATATATATATGTATATATATATATATATATATATATATATATATATATATATATATATATATATATATATATATATATATATATATAGTATATATGTATTATTACACTTTGATTTATATTTTTAATAACCATTTTTTCCTTGTGAAGGAATCATGCCCGGTGTCTTTGCCAGGTAACTTTGAACTCGTAAGGAATAAAGTAGTATAGCTAAATCAGTCGTGAAGACCAGCATATTTTCATTGTAATATATGAGTATGGCACCTTAGGAAATATTTTGATTTTTTGAAAATAAAATGGAATTTGTTGAAAATGGCAGGGAATATGGAATGGTGCGACAGCTTTTCCTTTTCTTTGCAAGGAACCATGCACTTGAAAGACCTCAAGCAGTTAGCACTGGCATTGATAATAATTTCATAAAATGCTTGAAGAATAAATGCCATTTTGATATTGCTCTTAATGCACTGATGTATTAGAAATCTTGTCAGGCTTGGTTACTGCTTGCAGGCAGTAGAGTATGGGAATACATTTTCCATTTATGTTGCTGTCATTGAATATATAGTTTTTCATTGCTTCTTTCATATTCTAATATTTTAGGAACTGGCTTTGCTTAGATGAGATATTAACATCAAGTGGATAAAAGAGCAAAATAGGCTGACAGATAGAACACTCTCACTAAATCCTATGTCTTTTTTAAGTGTACAGCAGCAAATAGATTTTATTATTGCTTGGTTGAAAATTTGTCCATTCTCAGTTGTTTTTTTAAGTCAAAAATACACTTGAGGCTGTATTTTTTAAGAATTATCATCACTGTGTCAGTTATAGACTGATTAGCCTTACCAATTTATCATTTATGATGTAATAATCATCAATTCATCATGAATCAGATGTTTATCATCACCAACTTGTCACCCTCTACAGGCCATATAGGTCATGATGTCGATTGCCTCCGTTTTACATTAATCACAGTTTCTTGTTTGTTTTTTGTATCTCTCATAGCGAGGAAGGATTCTTTGAAGAAGGTGAGGTCTTTTCTCTGAATACGAGTTCCTTGTTATACAGGTACAGAGGGGAAGGTGAAATTTACAAGGTGATATAAACCATAAAAAAAAAAGTGTGAATACAGAACAGATTATAAAAGGACGAGGGTATAATCTTTGCGAGGGAAATCCTTAAGAACCAAAATTTATGAAAAGGGAGTTGAGCTATAATGGATTATTCATTTGTTATCAAAGTATTTTTTCCTGCAATCTCTTCGTAATGAATGATGAACATAGATCATCACCAAATAAACAAAGAAAGAAATAAACAGACAAATAGCAAGGGCAGGTACAAAGGTTGTCTAATATAAAAGCAATGGATATTTTAAAGTACACCCTTCATATTTATTCATTTATCCATTGTTGTATATTTTTAGAAATTTAAAGCCAAAGACTAACACCTTAGTCATTACATATAAAAGAATGACAAGAATATAAGTGATTATAAGTATTTTCAGTGATGACTTTTAACTTGCCTTTACAGCTTAAACCTACGGAACAGCTCAACGAAGACATGGACAAGATGTTTGAGGGTCAAGCCAGCGAAGATTTCTCGCTTGACCAGCTGTCCTCGGCAACTGATGTCACGGCCTCTTGGACCCCAGGCTATAGTGATGAGTCCCAGGTCCGCGATATGTCTGAGCTGAGACTCCGTGAGATGGATATTGACTGTGAGTTCAAAGAATGTTTGCCTATAAAGTGTTTCCTTAGATCATTCTTTCTTTCCTTTTGTTTTAAAGAATAGTGGTTGATGTTTCTGATATAAAAGTTATGAGACTGTTGTTACAAATTACTTTGGATGTCATTGATACAAACTACTTTGGATGATATATGTGATATCCTATTAATTTGTACGTACTGGAAAGCACATTGTACCACCAAATATATCTGTGAGTGAGTGAGTGAGTGAGTGAGAGACTGCATAACATATACCAGTCAAACCATAATCACCCTCCTAATGTTGCAGATCATGCAAGTGACAGCTTCCCTCACATGCATCACACTCTGAAGCCACACCGAGTGCGTCGCAAGAGCCACCGCACTAGCGATGATGCCCCTCCCCCTTACTCAAGCATTGTAAGTGCACTTTTGCTTAATTTAAGCCAAGTAAAGTGAACAATATGTAGATAGATCAATCAAAATAAGCAGAAGGTATGGTAGGTTCTTGTAGTCCTAATCCATGCTTCTGAGTTTCTGTATTTCAGCTTTTGTTACAGTGCTTCTTGCTAGATAGGCAATGGGATGCTTTTAAAATTGAATAAGTTTGAAAAAGGATGAATTCCCAAGAACATTGTTTTTCATCTTGTTGAGAAATGTAATAAATCTGATGAAACAAAGGTGTATATGTAGAAATAGATAATATGGTCTGTAATAGATTTCAGTGTAACCAAAAAAATCAATGTTGTATATGAGGTTTGTACCTAGATATGATTAATCTAAAATGTATATTTAAGTCTGTTTACTCCTATGATATATTTGATACTTAAATGTATGTTGCATTGATTACATTACATCACAAACTACAGTCTTATAATTTGAATGTGTATTTATCAGTATTAAATCATCTGATCTGAATGGTAATTTAGGGATAGACTTGTACAAAGATTTTTTATTGTTAATCACAGGAAAGCAAGGAAGAAGCTAATACTGGTGCTGTGAGTTTCGAAGTAGGGGACCCTGATCTGCCAGAAGGGTGGTCTGTTGGGTAAGTGTTTCCATGGCTAGTCTTTTCATCATTTGGTCTTTTTACATTGTTTTTTATGTTGCAGTCTTCAGAGGTGCAGGGTGTATGTATGTTTTTAAAGGAATTTTATAGGAGTTTGGCTACTCAAAGGTTTTTGCTGCTTTTGCAGTACAACTAATGTTAGGCTGCCTATTTGCTGGAAACAAAGCATTCAGATTTCTTGATAACATATTGTTGTATATTTTTAGCAGTTACTATGAAAAGAAACCAAACAACAATATGAAAATGTTTCAAACTTCTCAAGAATTCTTCTTCTGACATAGCAAATAACCAAATGGATATTTAAAGAAAGTTTTAATAAGATTATACAGTAGCAGAGAGACTATAGGACCAAGAAGTGAATCAAGTACCTGGAGGAGGGGTTAAGGTTAAAGAGATAGGGAAAGCTTTACTTACCAGTGACGATGTAAGGTCACCCAAGCTCCATTGACCAGCACTTGGGTTGAAATTAGGTAATTTTCTAATTTCTAGCAGTTCCTACATTTTCCATTTGTAATGAAAACTAATGTTTATAAATTGAAGAAATTACAGGAACTGAAATTAGAGAAAGGAGACATAAATGAGTCAAGTAGAGAATATGAATGAGTAGTTGTATTTGTGTGCAGGGCTGGCTTTTGGCATAAAACATGCAGGCAGTTGTTTAGGATGCCACCATCTGTAGCAGGATACGCTCAGTAAAAAAAGTAAATGATAAAGGCAAAAAATTCAGATGTAAAAATATACAGATGAGTGCCCTTCCCTTTTTTGTACAACGCTGTGATGTCAGTCTGCCACGATAAGTTTGTATTATACTTGTACATTATGTGGAGAACGAAGATGATGGTGGTGGAGGGGACTAATTTTTAATTTGATACACCAAAATGATAATAGCCTTCTCTGCTTTTGTGTGTGAATGTGTGTGTGTGAATGTGTGTGTGTGTGTGTGTGTGTGTGTGTGTGTGTGTGTGTGTGTGTGTGAATGTGTGTGTGTGTGTGTGTGAATGTGTGTGTGTGTGTGTGTGATGTGTGTGTGTGTGTGTGTGTGTGTGTGTGTGTGTGTGTGTGAATGTGTGTGTGTGTGTGTTGTGTGTGTGTGTGTGTGTGTGTGTGTGTGTGTGTGTGTGTGTGTGTGTGTGTGTGTGTGTGTGTGTGTGTGTGTGTGTGAATGTGTGTGTGTGTGTGTGCGTGTGTGTGTGTGTGTGTGTGTGTGTGTGTGTGTGTGTGAGGGTGTCTGAGAGTTGTGTGTGTGTGTGTCTGTAAGTGTGTGTGTCTGTAAGTGTGTGTGTGTGTGCGTGTGTGTGTGTGTGTGTGTGTGTGTGTGTGTGAGTGTGTGTGTGTGTGTGTGTGTGTGTGTGTGTGTGAATGTGTGTGTGTGTGTGTGTGTGTGTGTGTGTGTGTGTGTGTGTGTGTGTGTGCGCGTGTCTGTGAGTGTGTGTGTGTGTGCGTGTCTGTGAGTGTGTGTGTGTGTGTGTCTGTGAGTGTGTGTGTGTGTGATTGTTTTGTATGAATTGGTTATTGAGTAAGATTTTCTGTTTAGTAAATCTTTTCTTGGTAAAGTCTGGATGAAAGCCTTGTGCTCAGTAGAAATTCATGTAATTAAGCTTCAGATGTAGGGTACAGTTTCAGAGTTTACCTTTTGCTTTCTAATATTTCATGTTTTCAGAAAGTAATTAAATAACGCTATTTTGTTTTATCTGCTCTGAGTAAGTTATTAATTTTCTGTTGTTGGTGTCCCTCCGGTACATGTAAATATACTGGAATATGTGATAGTATTTTTTCTCCCATATACTTGGTCATTTTCTAAAGAATAGATTATCAATACCTTTCAGTAATTTTTGCACTGATATTTATTGTGCTTAAAGATTAAGCAATATGATTTGAGGTATAGTATGTGCTCTACATGTATTTTTTCAGGATATTTTTTGAATATTCTGTATGTCCATTCTCCTTAGAATGTAGCAATAGCTATTAAAACAAGTAACTGGTCCTCCCAACTGCTCATCAGTAGCACTGTGTCTCAGTAATACATTTTCCTGGGACATCCCAGGGATGTGGAATATGATGGCCAGCGTAGTGTGTGCAGGTCGGCAGTTTGGGGTTTTTACACATGGCCAGTTCCTCAAGAACGGGCATCCAGTGACAGTATACAGAGTTTTCACACAGTCCATGTACTGTCAGCCATCCCCAAGTCACCCAGTGAATCATCTAGCAGTATTTTATCGGATTTTGCGTAAGCACGAGTGACGGAGGTAGTTAATGGATTGTGTTGCGTTGCTTTCCCTAGAGCTTAGTTTAGCTGTCTTGTCTAGGAGTTACAACATTGGATTTGTTACCAGTTCAATCAAATGATATGCTCAGATGGAAGTAATTTTTTTCTCTTTCAATGAAGCATCAAAAGCAGGATGCAGTAAAGGTGTTGTAACTGATATGGAGCTCATTAAGTGACGAGTTGTCTTTTTTATGTTTTTTGTTTGCACTCGTGTTATGTTTGCTTTTATGCCTTTTTTAGAAGTTAGCAGTTTAGATTTTTTTGTTTTTGCATGATAAAGGTTACTAATGATTTATCTTGTGTTGCCAGTTTGATCTCTCACCAAACATTGGTTTTTCAAGCTGGGACCAGATTGTAAAACTAAATTTTGTGTATATTGTATATTGTAAATAGGATGAAAATTCTCAGAACACTCTTAAACAATCTTTGATTCCACAGAATGGAAGTCTTGTTTTTCATAGAACAGTAAGAAGGATTTAATTTTAGAAATCTTATTAATGTTAAGGATCAGAAATGTTATATTTTGTGGTACAATTAAAGAGGATTGTAAAGACCATTGAGGAACATGGAGTTAAGTTATTTAAGAGTATTTTGCAATAAGGAAATTAAAAGAAAGAGTTAGTATTGTGATATATAGGGATAGAGGAACTGCTAAAATTAAAAGATATTTGAGTGGGATTGATTACAGTGAAACTAATTTATTACACAAGATATTGTTTTTGAATCTTCAGCCTTCGGTAACCTAATTTCTAATAGATATGCATCTCCAGTGTATTTATATTTAATTTTTGAATTTTTGTTTGGTTATTCTTTCAGCAAGGCCTAGATTTAGTTGCATGTGTTTGCAGAGATATGCTTAGTGTGATTTTCTTATCATTATTTAGGGAAAGGAAATTGGCATCAAAAATGCTTGATTGAACAGTGTTTTACTGATACTACTTTCTTGTAGGTATCAGTATAAATATATACTGTATAAAATGAAAGTTATGACTAGTTATAAGTTATATATTTGTTTAAGAATTTGAAGTTGAAAGCATGATCCTTATTTATATGTGCTGTTGTTTATTTGAAAAATAGTTTTAAATCTTCCTTCATCCTTTCCTGCACAATAGGCTAAGCTTTATATGAGAATGGAATTTTTTTCTCTCTCTTTTTTTCTAAGTCTTACTTTCCCCATGTATGTATAAGAATAGCTTTTTGCAGTTGCCTCATAAGGCTTTTCACAAAAGGTGAACAAGTGAAAATAGGACATGAAAGTTTTAGCCCTCTCTTGCTCAGTGTCCTCGTTCACAGAAAACATGTCAAGAAGGATGCGAGCAAGCAGCCGCAAACACCGAGGAAGGATGAGGAAGAGCCAGAGAGTGACAATGACGACGAGGAGTCTTCCCCTCTGCTTGGAGAGGACAATAAGCTCAAGTAAGTTAATCCAATCACCCAATTTGGTACAAATATGTGCCATGCTTACAGTTGTCTAAGTGTATTTATTGTCTTTGCACATGGCTCAATAAGTACTTAGTCACCAAGAAGTCATTTGTTAGTCATACCTATCTCGCCTGTTTAGCCTTTACTTGTTTTTTTGAACACATCTTTTGTATTATTCTATTGTCTGTCATGTTACTGATAATTTGATAACAATTTATTAATCATATTGTCAATAAGAATAATAATTGTATCAATATGTGTGGCACTAGAAGGAAAAACATATTTTGCTCTCTCTCTGTCTTTTGCTCTCTCTCTGTCTCTTTTGCTCTCTCTCTGTCTCTTTTGCTCTCTGTCTCTCTCTCTTTTGCTCTCTGTCTCTCTCTCTTTTGCTCTCTCTCTCTTTTGCTTTCTCTCTCTCTCTCTGTCTTTTGCTTTCTCTCTCTCTCTCTCTTTTGCTTTCTCTCTCTCTCTCTCTCTTTTGCTCTCTCTCTCTCTCTCTCTCTCTCTCTCTCTCTCTTCTCTCTCTCTCTCTCTCTCTCTCTCTCTCTCTCTCTCTCTCTCCTTCTCTCTCTCTCTCTCTCTCTCTCCCTCCCTCTCTCTCTCTCTTTTGCTCTTTTGCTCTCTTCTCTCTCTCTCTCTCCTCTCTCTCTCTCTCTCTCCTCTCTCTCTCCTCTCTCTCTCTCTCTCTCTCTCTCTCTCTCTCTCTCTCTCTCTCTCTTCTCTTTTTTGCTCTTTTGGCTCTCTCTCTCTCTCTCTCTCCTCCTCTCCTCTCTCTTTTGCTCTCTCTCTCTCTCTCTCTCTCTCTTTTGCTCTCTCTCTCTCTCTCCTCTTTGCTTTCTCGCTCTCTCTCTCTCTCTTTTGCTCTCTCTCTCTCTCTCTCTCTCTTTTGCTCTCTCTCTCTCTCTCTCTCTCTCTCTCTCTCTCTCTCTGCT